ATTGAGAGATTGTCCTCATGTACATATCATCAATTATTCAATTCACAGATAGCTGTGTGTATATAGGTGTCCTCACTTTTACCTGAAGAAGACCATCTGTGGCTAAAGCCAGCCGTGTGTACTGTGTCTATTTTTAAAATTACCTTCATGCAGATTGTTCCGCAAAAAGATAAAATCTTAATGTGCACGTGCTTCTTGGTGATTGCACATCACTGCCGGACCTCGTTAAGTAAAAGTGGACCCAACAACTTTTAGCAAGGAGGACGACCTGCAACGCTTCACTGCACAAACACTCTTTCTGTTAAAGTGCACAGACATTAATTGTAGGTTTGTTTTTACTATTATTATATCATCCAACCACGGTTGATTTCTGGTGTCCCAGCAGAAAGCGCACACATATTACGCCTCCATTCTTAAATCTCCATCTCAAACACCCGCTGCATGTAGACCTGAAGGTGTTACACTGAGATTCCATTCAGAAAGAAACAAAACAAACCCTTTGATGTGTTTCTCACAGAATCACTCTGAATTACGACATTTGCATCTGTGTTAGCTTCGAGGAGGAATTTCCTCAACAGGAAATTGTCAAAAAAAACTCCCCCCCCCCCCCAGAGCCTCTCTCTGGTTTAGTGACTGAATATTGTTGTTGAGCTTTGAGAAAATAAAGTACACAGTAAGAGGCTTATCTGATGAATTTCCTTCTACTTTGGGTCCCATGATCCAACACTGCAATAAGCTTAAAGCCCTCCCATCGGCTCCACCAGATTAATTTTACACGAATACAAATCTAACTTTATACTCCCCGGTCAATTCTTCTGGTGCTTTATGCATTAGTTTATACTGTATGTATGAATCAGTTTGTTTTTATTTGTCATAAATAAAACACACAGGGTGGGACACCAGGGGAAAATATACATGTACACGTACTGTATAGTTTCCTCTTCTGAACGCTTACTGTACATAAGTTCTGTGTGGATATACAATGCAATAGCAAGATAAAGTGGCACACGGATATACATGTTGGGAAGATAAGAGGGAAATCTGGGAAATCTGTACTGTAATAATATCGTGTGTTAGATGAATGCCTGGTTTATTTAATAACATATCACACCCGCGGGAAAAACAACAGAATTAATGCTAATGTTCCCTTATCTACACATTAATGTGGAGGAAAAACACAAATGTTTTATTGCAGTTATTTGGTGAGCAGATGTATTAAACAGTTTAGGAGTTGATGGTTGTGGAAGTGTAGCCACAGATGGATGATAAATTATCAACAGATATTTTAGGCAAAAACATTGTTTTTCATGCACTATTTGCATTTTGCTTCCATAACTTGTCTTCTTTCAGACTACAGGAAAGAAAACATCCAAAATACACATTTAACTGTTTTATTTTACTACTTTGTCTATTTGCTTCAGTCGATTTCTCTTAGCCTTAGTTTGCATATTTAAACATAACATTTCACAGAAGATAATTGGCTTAATTATTGTAATTAATCAACTGGTGAAGTTTCATGGTGATATCTATTAGTTCATTTTTTACCCTATTCACCTGTAGAGTCTTCAAAATGTCTGTAATTTTACAAAACATCTCTTTAAAGGCCGTTTTCTCTAAATGAGTTTGTTCTCAGACTCTAATCCAGAAATCTCCACTTCAGCAGCTCTTACATACACCAAACGTTACAGTTTCATTCCTCTCTATATTCTGAAGGATGTTACTGAGGGGTTTGTTCATATATCATTCAAAGCCTGATTTATGTAACATTTTATTCATAAAATATGCCGAAAAAATTAATTCTGACGGTATGTTCTGATTTATGGAGTGATACAAAGAGATGTCCTAACTTCACTCTGTAAAAACTTCTGACTACATCAAGATGAATCAAGAATTTTGAACCTGGCTTTTCAGATTTATGTTCCCGAAATGTACGCAAATTAGCACATATTCAATAAGATAATGCCTTTATTTGTATATTTAAACATACAGTTTCAGAAAACTTGTAATACAACATGTACAACATGTGTTGTCACCCATCACTATATTTGCCGTCTCAAAATTTATGCTGTCAGTTTCATAATTTTTATGTTTTTCACAAATCCAAAGAAAGAGTGTAAATATTTAGTAATGTCACCTTTGGACGGACGCACGGACAGAATACCAGGAAGCTGACACACGTGTGCAGAAACATACTCTGTAAAAGGAACACTTCCCCTCATCAAATACCTCTTACACAACACTCATGTATGATTCACATGTGATAATGTGCACTTTTCTAAATGCAGATGGCATGCACTCAGCCGTGCTTACATGTGCTCATAATGTTAAGAAATGCACATAAGAAACTGTGCAAGCAGACAGAAGCGAAATATTTACATTATTATTATCCTTCATTGTTCGCTTCTGCAGTTCATCACATCTAATCAAAGCCAACAGGCGAGATAACACTGTTCTGCTTTAGGGGAAATTATTCAACATCCTGTATGTAACCCACCTCTCGCTGTCTGTTAATATTCTCACATCGAGTTTATTCTCAGACTGAGATGGTGGTCGGACCCCTTGAGACCCTGCAGATGGGACAGCTTGTGCCATACTGTGGGCCTTCACATCCAGACGGTAAAATGTCACAAAAATGTCAGGGGGAACCCAGTTGGCTTCATAGCAGATACTCTTCAGCGATACACCATTGAACAGCACCAAAGAAAAGGCCAACACTCAAGTGCTGTCACAGCCTGCATACTGGCACTGTCGCCATCAGTTACGCACTGGTTCAATATTTTATCTGCCTGTTTTTCAAGTTAAGTCTATAACAAGCAGAGTTGTGTATTCATCGGCCAGCAGTGAGCATGTATTGGGGGAAAAACGAAGCCGTGGGCTCCAAGTATTTACTTATTAACAGTGACAGACAGGGGCCGGCTCTGTTTGAAGGCGTCTTAAATAATCTATGACCTTTATGGGACTAGTAGGAATTGCAACCAATTTGGCAAAACTTATCTCCTCCTCCAAGTCTTTGGCACAGAACCAACCTCCACCTCTCCGCATCCCCTGAGCAAAAGAGCGACTGATACAAACTGCCAAGCTGCATTTTTCAAAAAAGGGGGACAAATAGGCTCCCGAATGGGAGCAAGAATGCAGCACAAATGTCTCTTTTGAAGAAGTAATACATCAGGATGCAATAATAATAATGCTCGTACAGTTGTCGCCTGTAGCTGTGCCCCAAATCCATACTGCGTAGTAATTATAAACTGTATATATTACATGCTACTCATCATGGTATACACTGTTTTAGCAGTAAGTATAGAAAATCAGTTTGTAGCCTGTCACATTTTTTAGCATACTTTACCATTTAACACAAACAGGAAATGATACATGTAATACACTGCCAATTCTCATCACCGTTGATTGACGCTTTGGCTTTGCAGCGTTGCTTTGAGTATAAGCAAACATTCGCACAATGCGAATACTAACATGCTGATGTTGAGCAGGCTGTTTACCATGTTCACCATCTTAGTTTAGCTCTAAACACAGAGCAGAGCTCAGGCTGGTGGGGCTGATATTAGTTTTGCTGAAAATATAAACAAATTCATAATTTGACGTGATGGCTGGATGAAAAGTGATAATTACCAACGTTATTACAATTCGTCCAGAGGGAAACATGAAGACTTTAATAGCCATCTATCTGATAGTTGTGAAACCATAGACTGTATATTCTGAAGACTCGAGTTCGCCATCTTGTTTTTGTGACATGAGAGGATGAAGTACTGAATGCTTTTTAGGCGACCAAACTTTTACTATTAACTTCCATGAACTAAAACCCCCACTGTGACAGGGTTAAAGCTCTAAGACGACAACTCCCAGACCAGAGACACCGTGGTAGCGACCTGTCAATCACAGTAGCCCCGCCCTAAAGCATACTCTACTACTTTTGGTCTGTTTGACTCTAAATGGACCATAATGTACTAAATGAACATCATGCTGTATTGAAGAAGACTTGAAACTAGAGATTGAGACCATAAACTCATGTTTACAATGTTTACTGAGGTAATAAATCAAGAGAGAAGTAGAGTCATTTTCTCATAGACTTCTATACAACCAGATGAGTCGCCCCCTGGTGGTCATTAGAGAGAATGCAGCTTTAACACACTTCAGCATTGGCTTCACTTTTCAGAACCGGAGGTTCATTTCACTCAAAACCACAGATGTGAACTTCATGGTGGTGCTAGAGATAAAGTTGATATAATCCATAATCCAGTCTAGACCAAATTGATTGCCCGACTTTAGTGCTACTTTAGGTGTTCTTACACTCTAATTTAAAACTTCAGCGAGAAAACACACTTTTTAAAACCAGCGAAATCTCAGCAGCTGGTGAAGTATTCCCACCGTCAGTATTAATATTCATAACCGCAGTTCAATTATGGTCATTTTGTGCTTTGGGGCAGTAAACGTGATGTTAATTTTCTTTCACTGTAACAATGCAGATTACAGTGTGAAACCCAGGGCATGTACTTTCAGATTTTCTTTCTTACAAATCCAGAACGTGGGCTAATGTATTTAGATCACATTTTCAATACAGCTAAGTGTGCCGAACATTTCCTCTTCTATGGATTGGACTGTTAACTCCAGCACCCAGGACATTTATGAGTATAATAACAATCAGTAAATGCTCTCAGCTGGGTGAACAACAAACACACATCTGCCCTATAGACTTATTTCCATTTAAATAGTGAAGATGAGGAAATGATACCTTTGTGTGCTGTGAGTTTGCAGCGTTAGGAGCTCGTCCCAGCGGTATATGTTGATTAGCATGTGAGCCAAATGGATTCTCCCCCATTATCTAACAAGCTAATTACGAGCTAATTATTTCAAGGGAGCGCGGTTAGCGCATCAACTCTGCAAAGTTGTGAAATTGAGAGAGACAATGCAGCAGTGAGGGTAATCATTATAATTGAGAGTGTATCTGCTCGTGTAGTTGAGAAAGAAATCAAGTTGAACCTCAGGAAAAAGTGGTACGTCTTTAATTACAACACAATCTATACTGCAAAGAGAACAAGTGTCTCCAAAATGAACAAATCAAATAGGAAATCAGTTTCTTTTTTCACTGCGGGATAAAAACACAGTTTTTCACGTACTGTTTTTAGACAAATGAGACACTCAACACATGCGTACAAATTGGGCAACACCTCAAATATACGTATGGCACCCAATGAAGTTTTGACCTTACGTTGAATGCGAATACTTTATCACATTATTTAATGTTTAGCGAGACATTCAAACCATTTTTGATGAGATTGTTCTATTAACATTTTCATTATTAAAACAGAAAACATCAGGACAATTTTCAAAATAAAATCACAGGTAAGAGAAAAGCCCTTCAGCTTTTTAACACTGAATTGTGCGTGTGTTTTTTTTTTAATCTTTTAAGGCTTCTTTTGAAGTTGAAGGATACATTCATAGTTCCTTAAAGCTACACTAATCAATATTGTTTTATTGACAATGGATCGCTGTGTCAACTGTGACAACCCACCACGAATAATTATCACCAAATCTGCTGTTCCCCTTTAAGCGTCTTTTAGCTCATTGTTTTGGTTTTGCAACTTTCCTGTTTTGGTTCTCTCTTACAGCTGTTTTTAAAAAAAACTCTAAAAACCAACTGTACACTTCCTGCTCAGCATCAAACGGCAGATGAACACAGTTTGAGACTAGCTGGTGAACATAGTGGAGCATTTAGCTGCTAAAGATCAAGATAATTCCTTCAGGAGTTGGTGGAGACCAAAAACGGAGCTAAAAAAGAGAGTGAATATTGAACTTGCATGAGTAAATAAGTTGACCACATGATCTTAAAGGGTCGATGATGATGATATATGTGTTGTATGTAAAGCTTGTTTCTGCTGCTTGATTGCAGCTTTAAGGTTTGTAGCTCTGTAGTTGCTGGTAGAAGCCGGGGTTTGGGCGAATTGAGGGCCTCGCCATCTTCACCTGACTGTACGCATCATCAAACGCCAGCCCCTCCCTCAACATCAGGTAGCCAATGACGATGGAGGTAGAGCGCGATATGCCCGCGTTACAGTGGACCAGCACGACGCCGTCCTGTGGACAGAGAAAGAGAGTGTGACACAACAGAGACGATATACTGTATATATATAACGATATACTGTATATATATATATATAACGATATACTGTATATATATAACGATATACTGTATATATATATATAACGATATACTGTATATATACAGTATATACAAGAGAACTGGTCTTTAGTTACAACTGCCACATGTCACGTGGTCTGAGAAGAATCTAAGAAACATGGATTGTTCTGTTTGCTGGAGTTACTAAAACATATTCCTCTGCACCTCTGTGATTGTTGCTGAAAGCCACGATACAACACAGGCAAATGGAATTCAATTTGTTTAAAGAGTGACATTTAAACATCCAGCTCTGTTGTATTGGAGACATTTCAGAAGTTTCAGACTGTAATACTTAAAAACCAAAATCACCTTTTTTTTTTTTGTCATTTAAAAATGAGAAACATGTTGAAATATCAGCTTGAAGAGTCATTTCACGGCATCTCTTAATTTCTGACTTTCCAACACCTCTGAAAGCAGCATTAGTCAGACGCATGTAGAGCAAAGTCAGACGGAATAAATCTGCGTCAGTGGTTTTCTGCGTGTCAAAAATTTGCGGTATGATTAATATTAATGTTGATGTAATTATTTTACCGCCTAAAGTGCCGGGCTGGAAATTAATTTTTTAAAATTCCAGCCACATCTTGAGACAATGCGTGCAGGCCCACGGCTCAGAACCGAAGCTCAGCATATTGAAACATTCGTCTCTTCTGTTCAGCGTGGAGCCTCCCATCACAGAATGAAAGGCTCTCTGAGAGGGAGCCGCAGAACAGAAACCGGAGGCACTTTTTGATTTTTTGATTTTACATGTCAATTAATACCCACTGAGGGACAGGAGATTTAAATGAGCTGCGGCTTCACACGCGTGCTGTGCTTTTGGTTGCTGTAATTGACATGTTATCCCGGTTATCACTCCACTTTCATTTCAAAATGTGACCCAATCACACAGCTCCTCTGGGTGAAATACAATCAAATGAAGCAGGACACGCAGGGAGAAGGAATGACATCGGTCTTTAATAAGTTTCTATCAATCAAAGAGGGTTTCTCTGCTGCTTTATATTATTTGTGCTGGTGTCTGCAGTCACATATCAGCTCTTGTTTTCCTTCCTTTAGAAAAAAAAACAACAGAAAACTTCTGCAGAACAAACCGAAAATTGCCCGAGCAAGATAATCCATCACAGCGAACACGGAGACTTAATTTGGTTTTTGTCGGAGTTTCTTGTTTTGCTGTTATTTCATTGCGCTCGAGCTGAGTGTTTTCATATCAGTGCTCACATCACATTATGTTCTGTTTACGGTCAATCTCCAGACACACACACAGAGGAAATAATGCTCTGCCTGGAAATAATCCCTTAAAAAGTATGACATGCTGCACAGGAAGCGACCAAGGGGGAAAAAGTGTGAGCGTAAACGTTGACTTTCTGCATTAAATGACCCCAGCATGGTCTTTTATTAGGTATTCCGACCACCCGCCTCTCCTTTGTGCTGAGTTACTGATAACTGATAAATGTTAATGCGTCGCAGTGAGGAAGCAGAACAGCTGTGTGTGCACACTGACATGTTAAATTAGCTGGCTGATATAAAAGACGGAATTTTTAGGCTACATGAGCCATCTGAGAAAATAAACGTATTTTAATGCATTTTTTAATCTGGTAAAACCATTAAACAGTGTGTGTGTGTGTGTGTGTGTGTGTGTGTGTGTGTGTGTGTGTGTGTGTGTGTGTGTGTGTGTGTGTCTGCATCTGTCAGTGATAAAAGATGACTCAGTAGAAGTTTAAAGTATTTGTACTTTGCTCGGTTATTTCAATTTCACACCACATTATACTTCTCTCCTCCACTAGATTTCAGGAAGAAATACTTTTTACTCCTCTATGTTTATCTGTTGGCTGTGTTTACTAGATATTAACATTTTAAAAACCTATAGCGGGCATATTGAATATTATTTTGTGTAGTTAATATACACAACAGTATATAGAATACTTAAAATGAGTTCCAGCTCAACAAACTACATTAAAATGCTGTTTTTAAAAGAATGAGAATCAAAAGGTATTTATCAGAAACATGTTTAATAATCAATGTTTATTAATAACGCTACATAAACACATAGACCTGAAAGAGGCCAATACTTTAAATTAAGTTATATTTTGATGATAATACTGATCATTCTTCTGTATTTTGACTCAAAGAAAGAAATAGTTTGATTTGTTTTCTTGCAGAGTGAGATAAGATATGATAAGATATTATTGTTACCGAAGGAGATTCTTGTGCCAGCGGAAAATAAAACAATAGAGTCAAAATATGATAAAGTATATAAGAAGTAATACAAACACCAGTGCAAAGAAGAGAATAGAAATAAGAGATAAGATACATTTAAAAGTTATATTGCACATAATATTCAGATGAGAAGATTGATCACTTTCATGTGTTTGTGATAAATCTGAAGCTAACTTAGCTTAGCACAAAGACTGGAAACAGGGGGGAACAGCTAGCCTGACCTCTGAAGCTCACTCAATAATATGTTGCATTTGTGTAAAAATGACCTGTGATAGTTCTACGGGAGGTTATAGGTCAAACTTTTCTTTAAAGCAGTAAACATGTTTTATCTGAGACTTGTACTCGTAAAGTCTGATTGTACATGAATGTGTGTACCTTTTCTCGTGCCCCATCTATGAAGGAGCTGCATTCCCCGAGATACGAAGTGATGTCCGTGTCTGGGAGGTCCAGGATCTGGAGCGTCTTATAAACCAACTGATCTGGGAACAGGTTGGTGACTCCGTAGGCCACGTTTAACACATGAGACACCTGACAGGGGAGAAAGAGACACTAAATGACCCCCCCGAGCATTGACTAGTCGAATAGACTGTCTTGGGCGAGAGAGATATTCTGTCAGCCATATTGATGACATGACGCAACCTGAACGTTGACTGAGCGAGAGGGCAGGAAGACGGAGCAAGACGAGGGTCGACGCAGAGAGATGAAGAGGCAGACGGGAAAGAAGACAGATGGCTCCAATTGGTTCTGCAGTATCTGTCTTCTCTCGCTTAAATTAGCTTACCTCAGAGGACTGACTTCTCTCCTCCTCTACATCTGCTATTACACTGCTTGTAACATCTAACATCCTCTTTTTTCACAAGTTAAAGGGATACTCCAGATGTTTCTAATTGACAACAAATCCCATGAAAAGACCAAAAGTAATAATAGTTGTTTAAAAACATTTACGTCTTCAGTAGAAACCAACGACTGAGAGACAGACTAACATTGTTGTTGTTTTCTTGCTCTTTTCATGGGATTTGTTGACAATAGAATTATAGAATAATGGCTGCCTTTCCCTTTAATACGAACACACAGGATGGTATATTTCATCACTAAATTAGTGTGTTTACATGCACTAATGATCGGGCTTTGGAAAATCCTGGTTATATGTTGATGTATTCATTTATAATGAATGTATTATAAGTAATTTGAATATTCTCTTTGATGAACAGACCCCAAAAAACCCCAGTATTTTCATCCGTTGTCCATGGCCAGATGTTAAAGGTGCAATAACGGGATTGGAAAGCATTTTGATTGCCTCTTCACGGCTCTCAACATGGCGACGGCTCAGCAGGGGGGCTCGCAGCTAACGGAGCTTACAGCGCTAAGCAAGCTACGCTGTCAGCGCTAACGTTGTTAACCTGAGGGGGAACTGGAGGGTGGGCGCTACGCTAACGTGACAACGCTAACGGTTGGGACGGCGTTAACAGCTTAAACCGGCGCATTAGAGCAGTGCAGAGCCCTGAGCTAACCAGTGGAGCACGCTCACGTGCACTAAAGACACGCCCGACTATGTCAACAAAGCAAGGAGCAGCTCTGGTAAACAACAACACACAGAGGGAAAGTGACTTCATTCTCTGCTGAGGTAGACATTACTCCTCTATATCTTTACATAGATAATAGTTATTTGCTGCTATATTAATGCTATTATTGTATAATGCATCGTAAAAAATACAACCCAAAAATCTCATAAAACATTATAAATACTTAGATATATAGCATATCCAGGTCTGATCGTTCTCTGCCTCTGCCGTGTTCGCAGGTCCGTTCTCAAATCGAGTTATGTAGCAAAAATAATTAGATGGATGATGTAATTTGCGTCTGCCTGCTGAAATAAAAGTGATTTTCTGACTTCTGTTATGCAGATGGCACCATTTTATTTTCATCCATAACTAAAGAGTTGATGGAGAAGCTAAATCCAGCAGAGCGGCAAATGCAGTAAAGTTTAGGCAGCCAGAAATCTGAACTGTTGAGGTAACTGATTTGGTGGATGTGCAGTCAAAGACAAACTCAGACACCTGGACAGTGTTAGAATCACTGGAACAGGGAGATAAACAACCAGGTTTCTCTACCTTCTATTATAACCCACATATGATAAAGCCATAGACTATATGAGAAGTGGACGTAGTCATCGTGACGTCACCCATTGTTGTTTTTTGCAGCCAATGAACAGAAGTTACCATATTTGGAATGCGGAGGAGTGACCTAATGATGCTGGATATGTCTCTGGTAGCAACCCGTCAATCACCTTGTAGCCCCGCCCTAAAGCATCCCCTGCTTTATGGTCTGTTTGACTCTAAATGGACCATAATGTACTAAATGAACATCATGCTGTATTGAAGAAGACTTGAAACTAGAGATTGAGACCATAAACTCATGTTTACAATGTTTACTGAGGTAATAAATCAAGAGAGAAGTAGAGTCATTTTCTCATAGACTTCTACACAACCAGAGGAGTCGCCCCTTGGTGGTCAGTAGAGAGAATGCAAGTTTTAAGACACAGGCGGCAAGACACAGGTTGCCGCCTGGATAAAACCAAGACTCAAAATGATTCATCACTTTCCTGTCTTGAATAGAGATTTGATTTATTCACAAACTAACGCTTCGACTCACAATGTTAAAGTCTTTGTATTGAGACACCAGTGAATGTTTATTAAACTGCTAAGAACAGATCCTTTTCTAAATCATCCTTTTGAGCCCACTGCCGTGTCTGAGCTTCAATATCTATCTGAGGAAGAAAACCATTTTCTGCTTCTTTGGTTATCAGGCAGTCAAGGTTCTCAACCCAGAAACAGGAAGCGAAAGGTATTTGTAACCTCCCCAATTCATCATCCCGAGACTGCACAGTCAGCAATCTGTGCTCGCGCCCGGGAGCGGCCACTGCAGAGAGGAGTAGTCACATTCCTGTGAGGTGAAGACATACTGTAATCATTTACTCCCTCTACTGAGCTGAACCGTCACTGCACCGAGTCCCGAGGCCCCTCCGGCTATCGGCCCGGCTGCTGACGACCCCGCGGGGACGGCGCGCACACCTCTAATCTCATGTCACTACGATCACAACAAGGCAAGGGCACGGCCGCTCCATCGATCGCTCTGTACTGACCTTATATCTCTGCAGGGTGTCAATGTCGTGGGCTGCATCCTGAGAGGCTGGAAAAGGCAGAAACAACTTGATGAGGAGACAACAGACCAGAGGGCATGCCTCTGCTTAGCTATTTAAAAAAATAAAATGCTTCCTGCAGGCTGACATTAATTGCTCGGTTATAAAATTATCAAATGCTGCATGAATATTTTATCTGCATCTCCATTTGAGAGAAACAAAATGTTCCGCTTAATTCGGCTGTACAGTTCTATCAGCGTTATGATGATGATGCAGCTGGTTTTGTTAAAACTGTAAACATTGATTCATCTTTTAAGTCGTTTATCAAACAGAAGTGCAGAACGTTTGCTGGTTGCAGCTTCTAAAATGTGATGATTTGTTTTTATGTCTGTGTGGTGACAGCCGGAGGCATTGTGTGTCCCATTGTCGTGAACAAGATATCTCGGCAACGGATGAAGGCAATTTCTTCAAATTTGGCACCAATGTCAACCTGGACTCAGGGATGGACTGGTGAGATTTTGGAAGTGAAATGGTAACGGTCACTGTGACCTCACTTGTGTCCCGTATCTCATGAACACCTGGAGATGTTCGGAGGATAAATGTCACCGTGACTCAAGACTTAAGCTGCTAATTATGACAATTTAACACGAATGTCTAAAAGGATAGAATTAGGAAGTGATGACATTTTAGACAGAGATGTTTGTTTGTTTATTTAAATAATTTTCAGTTGAATATCTTGGGGTTTCACGCTGTTGGTTGAAAAAAAAAAACTTGATTGTGTATACAGTATATCCCCTAATATTTGCGACATTTAAAAGGGATTTTTCTGTATTTTTTGACTTTTTATAGACAATTAAGCTTAATCAGAAATACAATCAAAGGATAATGGAAATATTTCTTATCCCTGTAGCCTTATTCCTCATAATATAAACAAGGGAACAGTGGAGGGATGTACTCTATTGTACTAAAGTACACTTTTTGTCATACTTGTACTTTACATGAGTATTTCCTCTTCATGCTACTTTATACTTTTATTCCACTACCTTTATGTGACAGCTTTAGTTATCTACCCAGTAGTAGTAAGTATTCTGCATAGTAAGTATTGAAACTTTAATTAAATTTAGTTGATAATACTTAATTTATAACTTTGGTGTTTCTTTTACTTCAGTAAAGGATCTGAGCAGTTCTGCCAAGGAACAACAGTGTCTTACATAGAAAGCAATGAAACCACATGAATACAGAGCTGTTAAAAACAACAACAGTCAATTCAGGGGTGTAAAGAAAATGCTGCAGGATATCAGCAGCTTTATCGTTAAGTAGGAAAACAGAAAACAGCGGGAGGAAAGATATCAGTCAGCGGAAACCAACGTTAAAAAGGCTTACAGCTCCAGAAATAAAAAGACGGGCATATATATGATTTGTTGAGGAGCACTCGGCTTAAAAGCTGCTGAAATAAAAACATCCAATACTATCTACAGCTGCAGAAAAGGAAGTTTAGGATTTTCATGACAACAGCGAGAATGACAAATGCAGCAGAGGACGCAGGTCAGAGACTAATGGAGGAAAAGACGTGCAGCAAAGCCGACCTGGACGTCTGTTTCGGCTGAGAAAGAGCACATAATCATTGGAGGAGACAGTTAAAACAGAACGAGGAACAGTCTCTTTCAATTGGTCCAATGACTCTTCATGAGTAGCAGGAGCTGGGTAATTACATGAAAGAGACATATGGGCAGGAAACAGAGTGGATACTCTGCAGCAGCTCACTCGCCTTCAAAGTAGCAATATTTGCAGTCTTTGCAGTGGCCAATCCACTTTCACATAATGCCAGATTCGTGGCGTTGAGAAGTAAATCTAAATCCAAAGGATAGAGTGTCTTTGGAAATAAGCCAGCTCCGGTCCATATGCCTCATCAGTGTAGGAGGAACAGATTTAAACTGACACATCTGTGGAAAGATGCAGGAATGCCAGGATTTCTACAGCATTTTATAAATACAAGTGCGACATGGGACCCAAATTTAATCTGCCACACAACGGAGGACAGATCTCAATCACGTTGAATAGCAAATGTTTTTAAAAGTTTCTTTAAATTATATATTTAGAAATAAAAAATATACTTTACTCTCTACATTGATCTATCTTGTATGTTAGAATCACGTATCGGCCATGTCCAACAAATACATATAAATATAAATAAAATTGTATTTCAATGTTTTGGGATATTTAAGTTTTTAGATGAGGTATTAAATGTTCTGTTCTCGGTTCGGACAAGAATTTTCTTCATGTTATCTTTATTTATTTTGTATTTATTCAAAAATGTTCTTGTGGAGAGTGAGAGCTGAGGGTGCACAGAGTATATACATGTGTGTATATATATATATATACTGTATATACTGTATTACCTGCCAAGTGTAATGAAATCTCCACTGTCAAAGTGTCGGAAACCCACAATGACAAAGAGGCATTTTAACATCAGAGACAACCTGTCAAACGTTCAACAAGGTGCCTGATCCTGTAACAGCTACGTGAACAGTGTGACGCTGTTAGCAGTGACCCGCTGTACAGCAGAGGGTCACCTCTATTGAGCCCAACAGATGTAATATTCTATTGATCCCTGCAGAGAAATTCTCCTGCAGTGAGGTCGAGGCACAGGCGTGAGCTACAGAAGTGAACGGCCCCACAGAGCTGTGAGGGGATTCAATATCGGGCTCAAGGACACTTCAGCAGGACGGACACATGCTGACGTGTGCCGGTACCTGCGTCGTCCGGCTGAAAGGGAGGTCACCAAGCTCCCATAAGTCACAATGAATAACTTTAATTTATTCCTTATTAGGGTTTTATTTATTTATTATGAGAGGACTGGAATACTGAAGTGACTGAGACACTATGAAAGTGGTAGTACTAGTAGCAGCTGTTGTAGTGGTACTTTTGGACTTGTATTTCCACTGAAATATTATTTAATCATGATTACATTATTGAAGTACTCTTTCTTTACCCTAATAAAAGCTGGTATAGTTAGTAACAGTCAGTAATTGTAAGAGCAACATGTTTTATTTACTGTTTTGGTTTTGTGGTTTTATTTGATTTGTTTTATTCGTTTAGGATTTCTTAATATTTTCTTTTTTCAATATCCAATTATAATGTCTGAATATACTTAAAACATTGAAAGTGAATTGCTCTTTGAAAAGGCGTAGTGTACTTATAACATTACGCTGTTGTATTTTCATTATATCTGTGGCATAAAATGGTCTTAAAATGACAATAATATTGTTTATTGCAATTCAATATTATCCACTAAAAGTAGTTATTGTGACAGGCCTATAGTGGACACCTTTTGGTGCATGATTTGAAAATAAACTACTTACTTTACTTAATATTTGTAGTAGTAGTACTAATAGTTGCAGTGATAGGAGTTTTAGTTGAAATAGTAGTTGCAAAGCTAGCAGCAGTGGTAGAAATAGCAGGTTATTTAAAGTAGTAGTTGTGGATCCAGGAGAAGTAGTAGTAGCTGCAGCAGATACAGGTAATGGTTGTAACAGTGGTAGTAGATAGGAGTAATAGTAGTAAATATAGTAGTAGTTATGTAGTGAGTGTAGCAGCAGTAGTAACAATAACTAAATGTGTAAATAATGGTAGAAATATACTGGTTAAGGACTCTATGGTAAATAAATGTTAAAAACAATAGTATTCTAGCACTCGTAGTAGTAGTAGAAGTATTACTAGTGTATATTACCCAGCAGTAGGAAGGGTCTGACGACACCAACTTGAAGGTCCAGGCTTTTATCTTCTACAAATCCACATCCACCTTCCTCCTCCAGCTCTTCTACCTCTCCTCCATCACCTCTCCTCTCCAGCAGCCTCCTGCCCATCACAGTGGTGACGTGCGTGCACTGTTTCTTCAGGCGGCTTTGGGAGAAGCCTTGGATCTCCCGAGACAGCGAATGCATCACACCAGGGGTTTAAACAGGACTCAGCTGAAAACAAACAGAAGACTAGTAGGTTAAATAGAGGGAGATGATTTGTTTACATCATTTCTTTACAAGTAATTCAGTGGAACAATCTTTTTTTAAAGAATAGTACCCTTTAATTGTGTTAGTTTGTCAGTGGATTTACAGTTATAGTTAATATGACACCATAAGATAAGATAATCCTTTATTAGTCCCGCAGCGGGGAAATGTACAGGATTACAGCAGGATAGTGATTAGTGCAAACAAGAGACAGTAAAAACAAGTATTATAAATAAGTAAATAAGTAATAAAACAGTTAAGAATATTAAATAAGTAAAAAATCCACAATAACAAATATAAAATATTATATATAAGCTGACCAAAAGTGTGTAACCATAACTTTTTGGTGCCTTTTTTCACTCTCAGCAGTTCCATTCCATGTACTGAATGTGAAATGTAGTCATTTAGGTATATAGTGTCTGCAGATGATGTCTGATTCAGAACAAAATCACGGAGCTTTTTCCATTTCCTGCTTCGTCCACCCACCTGGTCTAAATGCACTGAGTTCAACCAACAAAATAAAATCCCGCAGAAAGTTAAATCATCGCTTATTGCAGCTGCAGTATTTAAAGTATGATATAAATCGTGTGTTTTACACAGCGAGTATAGCGAGCACGATGAAACTGACAGCTGAGTCGGAAGTTGCGTCAACAATGTGATGCGTTCAGGGTTCACAGAAAAATGGGGCGAACTGCTTCACTGGGATTTGTGCTCAGGGTGTGGCTAATAATGCTGTGAATTTTGTTTATTTACCAACAAACCCACCTCTCTCTGTTTATCTATAGATGTGTCTGTCATTTATACTACTATAAAAAAATAAATAAAAAAATTCTACTTTAGTTTAGCATAATAGACTTTGGCGTAATTAAACTTTTGCTAACTTGAAATGCCGATAACATTTAAAAACAGATAGCAAAATATGCAATTTGACGTAAAAGCATCCCTTACAAAAACACAGTTGGCAAGTATATTTGTAAGTTTCCCACAAAACACAAACAAACATAAGACAGTTATTACTGAAAGCAGCTTAATATTATATTGTTCTCACTAGTAGCCTTACAGTAATATGGTATTTATATTGTAATATTTTCACCATCATTATAATTTTAATATAATATACATATATATGTATGTGATTCTAAAATGGGCCATTTGGCATGAGTACTTTTACTTTGGGTATTTTAAGTATATTTTAAAGTATTTTTACGCTATAGTATGGATACTTCCTATTTAAATAAAATATCTGAGTATTTCTCCCACCACTGCTTTTTTGGGTAGTTTGTTTTGATATGCATTAGTTCACATTAGTGAATAAGTAGTCTTTATACACAAATTGTATATCAGTAAAGGAACAGTATACAGACGTATCAGCAGTGGTGGAAGAAGTATTCATATATTTCACTCAAGTGAAAGTATAAATACCACAATTTGATAATAATCTGTTATAATCAGTTTTACTAATTTTAAGTTACTGAAATGTACTATTACCGAGGGCCCCTGAACGCACCACAAGAGCCAGCCTCGTTGTGAAAACCAGGACAACTCCTCATCATCCCTGTGACCGAGAGAGAAAAAATAAAAAAATAAATAGAAACACAGGGAGACGGTGGGGTGGAGTACAGGAAGCTGCTGAAACATGGGAGAAATCTAACATCGGCACAAACCACACAGCTTCATTCTTTCTTTCTTCCCATCACTAAAACCAGAGGCTGCAGGAAGATTTGTGATATTTTTTTCCTTCTTCTTCTCGGATTGAATTGGTAGATTTAACGAGAAGATGTCGCGCGGAGTGATCCAGCCCAGCCAGCAGAAGCTGGCAGAAAAGCTCACCATCCTCAACGACAGAGGCATCGGGATGTTGACCCGTGTTTACAATATAAAGAAGGTCCGCACACACACACACACACACACACACACGTGCACTTAAATCCTCATTAAACCATATATATTCATTATATGGACTTTTACTCAAAACGAGTGTCAATATTAACGTTGGGAGACAGTATGAATGCTTGATTAGCTAGCACTGACCATTGCTCTATTGGTTTAATGTAGCACTGCTATTTGTGTGTATTAGCCACTGTTAATGTCATTTTCCAAACAGGTTAATATGCGGCAATAGGCACGTATTATCCCAAGTGTGTCCCTTTAGCATCCCTGGAAGCTAAAGCACTGCTAGCACACAAGCTATCGCGTTAGCTTGCGGTAAAGTGGCCCCGTTTCATTTTTACGATATAAACTGATTTTTTTAGTTGGATTAAAAGACACGTGCAGACTTACTGTGGATAGTATATTAAATTACAATCGGGTGAATTAAAACAGAAACTGTTAAAATTAAGCTCCACCGAGGTGATATTGGTATAAAAAAAAAAAACTCCAGGCCTTGCAGTAGTGGTTAAAGCTAGCTAACGTCGGCTGGAAATGGCCGCGGCTGCTAGCTAAGGTAACCACCGCTAAGCTAACGTTAGCAATCGGGCGTCGTCTCTGCTCCACCAAAACACGAAGCACACCAAAACACAGCTGCAGTCTGATGCCAACATGTATTAGTATAATTAAAAGCCAGTTCTTTACACCTTTACGTTACAGTGTTTGTTTTACCAAAGCTACATTTAGCTATTGGCTAAATTAATTGTAAGAAAATGAAGCTAAAGTAACAGCCAACGGCTGCTTTTAATGTCAGTTAAGCTCATTAATTCGATTAACGTTGATTATTTAAGTGATGTTAGCTGGTTCAGAAAAAAAAAAAAA